TTTTAGTTCTTTCTCTCCATAGAGTAAAAATCACAGTTTAAAAGCAGAGAGCTAGGACTCAGGAGATGTAAATTCAATGTGCAGATTCATCTCTCTGCCTCAGCTTTCCAGTGTGTACATCAGAGACTGTCTCTCAGAATAGCAAAGGGTTTTATTATGCAAGGAAGGACAATATTATAGGACTGTATGATGATATAGTCAGAAAACATCCAAGATGAAAATATGTTTATATTAGGACATTATAAACATACGTATTTGTCCACTCAATTTTATTAAACATTTCTAAAGTAAGAAAATACCATTTTTCTTCTTTAAAAGCTCTGCTAACTATGTTTTCATGATGTCTGTGAAATTAAGGAGGCTCTTATTTGTTCCTCAGATGCAAATAGTTGTCTTTAGTTCAAATCTCTACAATCTATGCCGGCTGGATTAAGATGTGTGAAGGAAAGTTACTAACATGAAGAGATTAACTGTTCCTGGAGGAACTCAGGTCTCTGTTGGTCTTAAGGGACATCATGTTATGGCATAACTACAGTACTGTTAAATCTGTTAATTGTTATTTCCTAGTGGAGTGTTGATGATGGCCTTACCATTAGCTCCCCAGATTGTTCATCTGCTTCTTGAGCATGACTAGGGAATATTCAAAGGCTTGTTGTAAGATAGCACAGCCTTTCCAGATAATTTTCCAGATCCCTTTTTAAGGTAAACCATCCTGTCATATAGATTACTCCTGCATGGAAAACAAGTCTAACATTTCAGGCTGTGTGTAATCCTGCCTTTAAGTCAGTGAAGGGTATTTCTTTTTTAAGTTTTTAACCCTTAAACATTCCTGTGTAGTTATCATTGTTTCAGTTTGCTGGATGAGATGACAGCTGTTGCTTCTGGCTCTCTCCTCTGCTATTTCGCTTTTGTAAGGTTTCCTTTTGTACTTTATCTTTCTTTGTTCAGCTTTGTTCAGAAGCAAGAGTCCATCACTCCATTACTGGCACTTTCCCTCTGGTGAGGTATAAGCAGCTTTGTCTCACAGAACAAAATTAATCACTACGTTTCACAGGAAAAATGCAGTATCAGCATCATTAAAATTTGACTTAATGTTTAGTGCACAAAAAAAGATTGGTCTACGTTGTCCTTATAGAATGGATTACATAGCACTGACATTAGTAATCATCAGGTCAGTCTCATCCAGCAGGAGTCAAAATCCAGTCTGGTAGAAACATTAACATCTCAAAAATACATAATGCAGTGCTTCTCCTCAATATATTGATCATTTTGGCCTCCAATTCCATTCCTATTATGCAGTATAGATCCTCTGTATTTGGGCATAAGCTAGTGAAAGCTGATGTGGACTGCATCATCTGTACTCTT